GAGCAGTATTCTCGTCCTTGATCGACCGTTAATATTAAAGAGCCGAGTTTAGCAGTTACAATTGCTTCATATTCCATCATTGCTTTGAAAACATCAGACTTATTTTTGATAGTATACACAAACGCAAAATGTGTGTAATCATCGATGAACGATACAAAATATCTTGACCCATTCCACGCAACTGGATCAATTGGCCCACAGACATCTGAGTGAATCCTCTCAAGTGGTCTTTTACTTCGTTCGCGATGTCCATTAAACGGATCACGACTATGTTTTGCTTCTATGCACACATCACAAAATTTGAATTTCTCCGCCTTTAATTTCAAGCCACATACCATTTCTTTATTTATCGCTTCATTAAAAGCTTGCTGTCTAATGTGTTAAAAACGTTTGTGCCACAACTCAACTTTGTCTTCATAACATATACAGTTGTCCACAAAATAATAGGAGTGCGATATTTTGACCAGTTTTGGCTATTTGTCTTTTGTTTATTTAATGTTTATTATTTTTTTATAAAAGCCTAGCTGGATATACAACAAACACCGTATAAATTCAGATTTTAAACTTTGTATAAAAATTATAAAAATTTTGCAATTTTTCACCCAAATTTCAAACTTTTTAATCAGAATCTTTAGAAAAAATTCTGGTATGCAGTTTTGTAGCACATTCAATTCTAGTCTGAAGAAGTGCAAGTTTCAAGCGGCTAAAAAATTCCGTTGATTTTTGGCAATTTTTTTGCTGGCAGTGTCCTCCATATAAAAGAAAATTGTCGACATACTTTGTATGGAAAAAACGTGAAACACCTTTAACCAAAAAAATTCTCAAAAATCAACGGAATTTTTTAGCCGCTTGAAACTTGCACTTCTTCAGACTAGAATTGAATGTGCTACAAAACTGCATACCAGAATTTTTTCTAAAGATTCTGATTAAAAAGTTTGAAATTTGGGTGAAAAATTGCAAAATTTTTATAATTTTTATACAAAGTTTAAAATCTGAATTTATATGGTGTTTGTTGTATAGCCAGCTAGGCTTTTATAAAAAAATAATAAACATTAAATAAACAAAAGACAAATAGCCAAAACTGGTCAAAATATCGCACTCCTATTATTTTGTGGACAACTGTATATGCAGAGATACGTTCGATGCCTACTTCAATTTCATATAGTCCATCTCGTAAGTACGCAGACGCCAGCAATTCTTCATTCTTTATAATATTTGTCTTATTTTTGCAGAATATTACATCAACACCAGCATTCGTCAGCTTTCGGACTGATAACAAGTTGTCACGCAATTCTGGTACATACAAAACATCATTCATAACAAGCTGGACTCCTTTGTTACTTATTCCACTTATTTTCCCTGAATACTTAGCGATCAAGCACTGATTATATTTAGCAACATTTATGAAAACTGGATTATGCATTTTAAAAATATCTCGAAAATACCATTTCTCTTTGGCCAAATGGTCACTCGCACCTGAATCCAGTTTAAATTTCATTTTCAAACTGTCTTTTTCTCGCATATCATTTCCGCCACCAGCAACAAAACAAACTCTTTCAATTGTAGTTTTCTTAGCGGCACTACGAGCTTCACCTTGCTTACAATCTTTAGCTCGATGACCAAATTTACCACATTTAAAACACTTCCCTCATCCGTCATCTCTTTGACGATCCGATATTCTAATTTCCTCAGCCAATAGCCTTTCTTTGACGAAATTGAGAGTCAACTTTTCTTCGCTTAAATTTTGTAATGCTGTTACCAGTGGATCAAACTTTTCAGGTAAGGTCAAGAAAAATTGAGCCAACAGATCTTCTTCACTTACTAAAGCCCCCGCCGTCTTCAGTTGCCTTACTAAATTTTCAAATAAAACAAGATGGGTCGCTACAGACTCGTCTTCTTTAATACGAAGCGTTGCTAGCTGCTTTCGCACTAAAAGTTGGCTTATAATCGATTTCTTCGCAAATACCATATGCAAATTTTCCCACATTTCTCTGGCCGTTTTATTGTCCCGAATATATCCTAGGCAATCGTTATGTACAAATCCCACTAAGCGATCCTTGGCCTTCTTGTCCTTTTTCAAAAACTCTGCCTTCTCTGCTGCATCATTTGGAGGATGGCCCGTTAAAACCTCCGCCAAGTTGAGCGCTTCAAACTGCATTTCCACTCTGAACTGCCAATTATCGAAGCCGATGCCTGCGAACTGCGGAATACCATTATCTTTCACGTCGCCCATAACCTTTTAAAGATCTAGGTATTTGTTATAAATGTAGATAAAATTTATTAGGCAGAATGTATTGAACGCACAAACGGAAAGTTCAGGAATGAAAAAATATGACAATATATTTTTTCCGTATTAAGTGCAAATTTATTGTGGAAAAGCAACAATAATTTGAAAAAATGGTAGAAGTGATAAATTTGCACTTAATACGGAAAAAATATATTGTCATATTTTTTCATTCCTGAACTTTCCTTTTGTGCGTTCGGAAATCACCACATTTCCGAAATAGCTATCACTTCTACCATTTTTCCAAATTATTGTTGCTTTTCCACAATAAATTTGCACTTAATACGGAAAAAATATATTGTCATATTTTTTCATTCCTGAACTTTCCTTTTGTGCGTTCGGAAATCACCACATTTCCGAAATAGCTATCACTTCTACCATTTTTCCAAATTATTGTTGCTTTTCCACAATAAATTTGCACTTAATACGGCCTCGAGCTCATAAAAATTTTTGAATATAATTGTTACAAGGCCACGAAAATAACAAAAACAAATAATATATTTTTTCTATACTCAAAGTTCAAATCAAAGATTGCTATAAATTCTACAGAAAAGCCTAGGATATTTTTGCACGTTGGGCTTTTCAGATGGTCTTGAAAGGGCTAGTGTGTACATGCTGCCAAATATCCACAAGCACAATCCAATAACCGGCAATCTCAAATATTTAAAAAAAGGTAATTTGTTATTAGTCTCAAACAAAAGAATGACAACTCAGAAGGATAAATGGTATGGCGTTATTAGATCATAAGTAAAACAAGTAAAGAAGTCTTAAGTTGGGGCGAACCCGAACATTAAATACCCGGCGCACGTATTAAATATAGTTATTTCGCCTTTCCGAAAACTACCGTTACATGGTAAGTAGGGGTTTTACCCCTATTTCAAACGTCTTCGATAATGTTCAGTTAGACTTAATGAGATAAATTAGTACATATATGTAGTTATAAGTGGGCGCTACCACGTCGATTTTCCAAAATTACATAATGTTACTTCTTTTCGAGAGATTGTTGTGAGTAATAGTTTAAAAATTAATAAAAAAAAGTATTATTCTCTTTTTCGAGAACTCGAACTTAAACTCGGATCTCTCAAACCGCTGTCTAGTGCTTTGCTCGCTCGGCCGTCGCCACTGCTGGATAAGCGTGAGCAAAATGACATACGTAAATGTCTATTGTTTCCTTTGCACTAGCTGATTTCGAATCATCAAGTTCAGCATTCGAAGCTGTCGACGATATTTTCGAGTTTACTTGGATCCACTTATAGCAAATTTTTTGCGTATTCATAGCGGGCATCAGAATTCGTAGATTTTCTAGATAACCCTGAATACTAAAAAAAAAGTTAACATACACCACTTGAGATATCTAATTTTTAATACCGTCTAATCACACCACTTAAATTACCAGTGCAGATCTTTGTTATTTGAGAATATCCAGCAACACTTGATTGTCAATTATAAGTTTACAATCCTTGAGCAAAAAAACACGCGAATTTAAGAGTTTAGATAAGCACTAAAACGCTGGTAAAAATGCTAGCAAATATAATAATAATAATATAATAGATTGGCGCTTACACAAATGTTAGGGTTTGGCCGAGCTTCTCCTCCGATTTGTGGCGTGCGCCTTGATGTTGTCACACAAAGCGGAGGGACCTACAGTTTTACAACGGCTCCGAACGGCGATTGCATTTTTATGAGAAGCTGTTTTTCATGGCAGAAATACACTCGGAGGTTTGCCATTGCCTGCCGAGGGACGACCGCTGTTAAGAAAAAACCTTTTTTCTATATTTTTTGCGATGTTGCTTTGACCAGGGTTTGAACCCAGGCGTTGCGGAGTGGAAGCGCGCACTGCTTACCACTACACCACAGCGGCCGACAAATATGCTCGAAAAAAATTAACACCCCTATTGCGAGTGTCGACTAGTAGTAGATAATCGACTGTTAGTCGATTATCGATTGTCGATGGTAGGGCTTGTTCGAGTTGCAATCACTGTTTCGCGAATTATTAAAGTATCACGTTCTGTGTGAATTTCTAGCAATGTATTATCAGTTGGGCAGTTGCAACAATGTTGCCATTTTTCATCAGTACGGCATGTATTACGTGCCTCGAATAGGCCCGTATTTGCAAAGTCGTTTTCTCGTTCAATAAGTACGTGTGAATAGTTTATAGTCGCTCTTCCGTCTACAAACAAACACGTGTAGAAAAATGAGCCATAAAAACTATTCGCAGTCGCTTATTGAACGAGAAATCGACATTAACAATACCATGGAAAAGCGATAATCGAATAAGAGATAACCGTATCTACTATTAGTTGACAATCGCAATCGGGGTGTAAATTTATTTCGAGCATATTTATTAGCATTCTTACTAAACTCTTAAATTCGCGTTTTTTTTGCTTATTCTTTCGGCCCTGGTTATAACACAACTGGTTATAACTATACGCCGTTTCCGAACGGCTAATGGTTTTATGAGAAACGTTTTTATGGCAAAAACACTCGAGGTTTGCCTGTCGTAGGATTTTTTCTGGCCTTAGATGTTGCTCGCACGAAATGTGGAATCTTTTTCCCACCGAGTGGAAGTATGCATCTTTAACCACTCGGCTACGGCTATCGATTTTGATCTCACCTTACAAATAATTTAAATACAAAAAGTTTGGAAAACATTTTTATAGAGCAGCGGCATATGAACATATATGTATGTATATGATTTGAAATTTTCCGTTTTCAGGTTGCAGTTGATTCAAAGAAGCGTGTGTATAGTTGGGGATTCGGTGGCTTTGGGCGTTTAGGTCATGCTGAGCCAAAGGATGAAATGGTACCCCGTTTAATAAAATTTTTTGACACTCAAGGACGAGGTGCACGAAACGTATATTGTGGAGCAACTTTTAGTCTCATTGTCAATGAACTCGGAGTTCTTTTCCTATTTGGCCAGAACAAAAAAACGGGAGAAGCAAATATGTATCCAAAACCAGTGCAGGATTTGTCGGGTAATATTTTTAGAAGCATTTATGTGGTTAAATGTTTATTTTTACAAAATTCTTTAAAGGTTGGAATATAACCGATATCGGATGCGGAAATACTTCTATTATTATATCAGCGGATGATACTCTAATCGCCTGGGGCGCTTCGCCTACCTATGGAGAACTAGGTATAGGCGAGTTTCAAAAGTCTTCCACTGTTCCTAAGGAAGTTCCCAAAATGGATAATATAAAAATACCTCAGGTCGCAATGGGCTACTCTCATACTGTTTTGCTCGTGGATACTGATAACGAGTCGACAAAACAAAAATACGAGAAACTGCCGGAATATACCATCGATGATTGAAAAGCCTAAATTCGAATGTAGTTTGACCTCCATACTCCCCATTCAGCATTTATTATAGAAGAAAAAGCATGAGTTGTAAGTTTAAAAAGATAATTACTGAGTTGTAAGCTTAAAAGATAATTTTATACACATATTTATAAAACAACATTTACATTTGTACTTTTTTATGTTTTTACGTATAATTTCTTGCATATTTAGTATCATTACAACCTTAAAAAATATTTGTTATATCTGAACCGCGTATTTGATATCATAGTCCAAACCATACATATTTAGTAGTAAGGGTAAAAAATTAAGATTAACGGCTCTATTCTGTATCAGTGACAACTTCTTGTAACTTTTTTTTATGGAAAAATATATGAAAAAATTTAAATTTGTCAGTGAAAAAAATTTTGTCACCGACACCGAATTGGGCTATAAATGTCACTTTTGTACTTTTTTTACTATTTGGCTTACATACATATTTATATTTTATCACATCGATGCAGTATTGTATTCATACATATTACAAATAAATATGAAGAACTTAATTGAAACTAAAAAAAGCTTGTAATGAAGAAAAGGGCATTATTTTCAGATAATTTAAGGTTGAATTAGGTTTTTATGTTGTCTACAAATCACCACTAAACAGCCGCACTGAGAAACATTCATTAAATTAGTTCAAACGTGCACTTAACTAATGATCGTTCTTCTTCTTCTTGCTTGGCGCTGTAAGCGCCTCGGCGAATTCGGCCGAGTCCAAAAAGTACGCAAGTCGTTTCTCTTCTGTGCCAACTTACGGCAATTGAAAATGCCAGGAGGGCTTCCTCTTCTGTTACCACCAGCGGGTTTCGAGTTGACTTTCAGGGCTGAAGCTAGTGTGATTGGCTAGGTTTTTAATTAATTGAAACTAAAAAAAGCTTGTAATGAAGAAAAAGGCATTATTTTCAGACAATTTAAGGTTGAATTAGGTTTTTATGTTGACTACAAATAACCACTAAACAGCCGCACTGAGAAACATTCATTAAATTAGTTCAAACGTGCACTTAACTAATGATCGTTCTTCTTCTTCTTGCTTGGCGCTGTAAGCGCCTCGGCGAATTCGGCCGAGTCCAAAAAGTACGCAAGTCGTTTCTCTTCTGTGCCAACTTACGGCAATTGAAAATGCCAGGAGGGCTTCCTCTTCTGTTACCACCAGCGGGTTTCGAGTTGACTTTCAGGGCTGAAGCTAGTGTGATTGGCTAGGTTTTTAATTAATTGAAACTAAAAAAAGCTTGTAATGAAGAAAAAGGCATTATTTTCAGACAATTTAAGGTTGAATTAGGTTTTTATGTTGACTACAAATAACCACTAAACAGCCGCACTGAGAAACATTCATTAAATTAGTTCAAACGTGCACTTAACTAATGATCGTTCTTCTTCTTCTTGCTTGGCGCTGTAAGCGCCTCGGCGAATTCGGCCGAGTCCAAAAAGTACGCAGGTCGTTTCTCTTCTGTGCCAACTTACGGCAATTGAAAATGCCAAGAGGGCTTCCTCTTCTGTTACCACCAGCGGGTTTCGAGTTGACTTTCAGGGCTGGAGCTAGTATGATTGGGTAGGCTTTTCCAAACCGGTTTTTTTAATATTTTTAGATGGGTTTTGAAATCTTGATTTTTCAAATACCGGGTAAACCGAATTTTTACAATAGAATAAATCGAGGTTTCACCTAGTTTATTTATACACAAGAATCTACATAGTCTAATGGCCTTATTCATAAAAAATAAAGTAGGTTTAAAGAGCTCTATAAATTGACGTTTTCATACATTTTTCAGTTTATAAACCTTTTTTAAAGCTACTTTATTTTGTATGAATAAGGCCATAAATATTTATTTTATTGAAAATTGAACTAGTTTTTATTAGTTTTATATCTGAATATTTTCTATAGCAGAAGATCGTTTAAAAAATAAAAGGAAACCCGAACAAAATCTTTCAATGTTGTTTTTGTTTAGCAGCACTGCTTTAATTCGTGAAGCGGACTATGTTGTTTTCATTCTCATCTGACGGCACACTCGGGGAAAAGGCCAGATTCGCCGGGTTTGGGCCACAAGGGAGTGATGTTTGTGAGCATGTTAAGAGGTCGCTAGTGTCGTGGGGGTATTTTATTGGAATTTGACTCAACGGCTTAATATGCTACAATATCCAGGGCTCGAATCCGCACATACGATATCGTATTATTCGTAACGTGAAAACACATTGTGGCAACTGTGTTGAACGCATGGGTTGATGGCAACCCTGACTACGAAATAGTATATAGGGAAAACAAAACTAACGAGTGCACTCAGCGAGTTAGCAGCAGCGTGTACGCAAAGTGTACATATATATATACGTAGACAATTTACTTTTGCAAGCAAATCATTCGTTCGCTTCATTCGCTTCACATCAGAAGGAAACCCGAAAATTCGTGTCTAAAGTTTAATTAAAAAGTTAGCCTTACTTATTGTTTAAGTGTGTCTTCCGGACAATAAAGTACAAGTAAATTTTAGAGTAATAAACTGGGTTTTATTATCTTCCACACACATTATTCTGATAACGTACGAGAACGTACTCTATCCCACTCAGTTTGTACGATTAACGTATCACGTAATTTATTTTCGTATGGTTTTCGATCCGTGAACGGATGTTACGATTCGAGCCCTGAGCTCTTTGACACACATAAAAAACTTACAGGAAGAAAATATTGAATTTATAGAATACATAAGGCATATATGGTTACGCAAAGAGGGGTGAGCTTCACAATTCTTGTAGAGAGCTCAGACCTACTTCAAGCGTGTCTTTGAATTATCAAAAATGTCTAAAAGAAGGAAAAGGTTCAAACGATGTTGGAAAAGATTTGAATTGCTTAATTAGTTTTTAGACGTCATACCTCTCCAAAACTGCGCCTAATGTTTGGTGTAGTCATACGGTTTTTACACATAGGCAAAAGAAATGTAAAATGGAATCGCAAACTTGGGCTGATGCTTGTCACGTTAAGCGTGAAATCAGGAACAGGGGATATGTATTTAAGGGTATTACATGCAAGAAATTCTTGCGTAAGATTCCTTCTTTATTAAAACAAATAGCTTGTGAGGTCCAAATATCTGGGGAATTTGGGCCACACAAATACCCACCACCATAGCACCAGAATCCGGCAAAATGACAGCACACGATGCCAAAGCAATACGGCAACATGAAGCCCATATATAAGAAACAACACAGCCGCTCAAGAGGGAGTCAGCACGGAAATGAGGTCGTAGCTGCGTTGCGTAGCTACAACTTAATGGAAGAATTGCTTGTGTTTAGTTATAAAACAGGACAAGACATCACCACTCAGGAGTAGTGAGCACCAAAGTCGGCTTCGATCACCGATCACCACAGCCGCCCGTGAAGCCGCGCAAGGGACGACACCCGCTCGTCCGCCGTCGCCAGAGCAACGTCAAGAGCGCCAACTAGAGCGCTACTCTCCGCCGTCTGCAGAGCGACGTAAACCGCACCAACAGGAGCGCCACTCACCAACGACATCAGAACGCCGCTCACCGACGTTAGCTGAACGCCACTCACCGCCGACACAAGAGTGCCGCCCACCAGTATCAGTAGAGCGCTATCACAAGCGTCCACCAGCGACACGCCCGCCCAGACTGCGGCAGAGCAACAGCAAAGTCACGGCATAACGGACCGGTAACGGGAGCCGTTACATAGCCACTGCAAGTGACGCTACCGATCTTTCCTATTGTAATTTCTGTTATATATTTTATACAGTATATTTTGCCTTGCTGCCTCTATGCTTAAGTGCAATGCGCATCAGAGGCATTATATTTAAAATTTATAAGGAAACTGCTCCGATAGATGCCTTTAGCATACCTGCAAATTGGCGATACCTGCCTTAAAAATTGTGCGACTAGTATCAATTACACTGTGAGACAAATGGTAGAGGTCAGTGATCGGGAAGGGTTCAAACTACCGGGGAAAGTTATATCGGTAAGCGGGGACGCCGGGACACGTCTAGAAATCGAGATATATATATAACTATCATGTAGGGGAAATTGTCACCTTTGGTGGTCTTTTTTTGACATAACTCGAGAACCACTAGTCCGATTTTGCTCAAACAAATTTAAAAAAATTAAAAATTACAATTCCTTTAATCTGTTCATATAACGTTTTTCTATATAATCAACAGTTTTAAAAAAATTTAATATTTTAGGCAAAAAATATTTTTTTTCTTCATACATTTATTTTTACCGTCAAAACTGTTGATTATATAGAAAAACGTTATATGAACAGATTAAAGGAATTGTAATTTTTAATTTTTTTAAATTTGTTTGAGCAAAATCGGACTAGTGGTTCTCGAGTTATGTCAAAAAAAGACCACCAAAGGTGACAATTTCCCCTATATGATAGTTATATATATATCTCGATTCCTAGACGTGACCCAGCGAAACGCCGGGACACGTATAACTTGTTTTTGACCGATATAACATTTCCCGTTGGTTTCATCCCATCCCGATTTTGACTGTCGCATAGTGTTATCAAAGAAAGTATTACGTTTACCTGCACTGGCCCTACAATTACCTAATTTTACAACTTTTTATTTATTTTGTTCATCTCGCAGAACAACGAAAATAGCTATCAATTTATGTAGTTATATAGATAATTAGATACCATTCGGTAAAAATTTCTCTTGCAGTAATATCTACGTGGTAAGTGCTCCGCCACTATTTGGTTTCATAGGGATTCGGATATCTTCCTCATTGAAGTAGTAAAAAAAATTCGCTTAAGTGCACAAATTTTTCGTGCAAAGATGGATGTGCAGCTAAGCAAAATGTACTGTAGTTAGGGAATAATCTAATAAAGTACGATTTACCTGAACCCCTAAACTACAAAATTTATTGTAACGGACCCTGGATACGGCGAGTAAACCCCAGCGTTGTAGGAGAAGCGTCGGGGCAGCAAAAACGCTTCGTTACAAGCTATATATCCTTAGGTGTAACTGTCACACCTAAAGTGAATACCATGATAAAAAAATTACAAGGTAAATTCATTCTCTTAATTCGTCGGCCATGATTTTTTTCTGGCGTTTGCCAGCATTTTAAAATCATATAAAATATAAAATGAAAAAATTAAATTGTTCACAATTGTTGTTGTTTGAGATTGAAAATGGGAATGTGTGTGTGAGTTTGAGTTTTGAATTTTTAAATTATATTGCTGGCAAACGTCAGACTGCCTCTCA